GACTAAGGTTCTCCCATGTAAACTATCATATAATTCACAATAAAACATTAAAAAAAAAAAAAAAAAACCTTCTTGAGCACTTCTACTCTGATATAAATGGGGTTGCCATGAGTCAGAGTTACCCCACTGGTTTTTACCAAAGCATATAAGGAAAAGCTAGAAACAGCTCTCAAATATCAGAAAAAGTTATCATTGAAATCTAATAGCAAAAAGAAAAATGAAGAAATGAAAATAGTCACAGAAGATGATGAATGTTAAGAAGTAGAAATTACACTTCCATGTAGTTTGTTTATTGAAATTAAAAAGATTTATGTGAATTAAAACTGCTAAATAAGGTCCAGAGGAGCTCTGGTAACGAAGTAGTTATGAGTCCGGCTGCTAACCACAAGGTCAGTAGTTTGAAACTACCAGCTATTCCTTGGTAAAAAAGATGAAGCTTTCTGCTCCCATAAAGATTTACAGCCTTGAAAACCCTATATAGTATTGCTCTGAATTGGAACCGACTTCACTGCACACCACCACCACCAAATAAGGTCCATGATTTACAAATCATGATTGTTCTTATACAAGGGGTCTTTTAAAAGTTCACGGAAAATGTCGTTATTGTTGTTGCTCTTCGGTGCCTTTGAGTTGGTTCTGACTAATAGTGACCCTGTTAGGGTTTCCAAGAAGTGGCTGATGGGTTTGAACTGTCGACTTTTTGGTTAGCAGCACAGAGCCACATCAGGACTCCATAGATAATACGTATTATGAAAAAGCTCTGCATGGATTTGAAAAATTTTGTACCAAAATAAAAGACTGATAAGTCATAACTAGTCTATATAGGATATAGTTTGAGGCACTAAGAAGGATATGACATCAGTTTGTAAAATAGCCCCTGTCAGAGCAACATGAATACTACTAAAATTAAAGTAAGAGCACACATCAAACTTATAGGAAGCTTGAGTGGAAAAATGATTAAATCATTGATGCTTTATGAAAAGTTGATGGGGACGATGACTCCTAGAAACCAGAAGTTTATAAATTGATCATTCATTTTAAGAAGGGACAAGACGATGTTGAAGATGAAGTCTGAATTGGCAGACCATCCTCGTAAATTTTCGAGGCAGCAATCTTGTACACTCCCTAACTAAAGAGAACTGATGGTTAAAAGCAGAAACAACAGTCAATACCATAAACATCTCAGTTGGTGGTTCCGCTTATACAATTCTGACTGAAAAATTAAAGTTGAAAAACGTTCTGCTCAGTGGGTGCCATAACTTTTGTATTCAGATCAGTTGCAGACAAGAACAGAACTTTCAGTGGAAATTTTTAAATTCTGTGTTCAAGACCCTGAAGCATTTCATGGAAGAATTGTAACAGGATATGAAACATGACTTTACCAGTACAATTCTGAAGACAAAGCAATGACTACCTAGAGGTAGAAGTGGTCCAGTCATAGCAAAGGTGTACAAGTCAATAGCAAAGGTCCTGGTAACCGTTTTTTTGACATTCTCAAGGCATTTTGCTTGTTGATTTTCTGGAAGGCCAAAAAATGATCACATCTGTTTATTATAATAGTGTTTTGAGAAAGTTAGCCATAACTTTAGCAAAAAACAGCCAGGAAAGTTTCACCAAAGAGTCCTCCACCACAACAATGTCCTTGCTATTTCCTTTCATCAAACAAGGGCTATTTTTTGAGACTTTTGATAAGAAATCATTAGGTATCTGCCTCAAAGTTCTGATTTGTCTCTTTCTAACTTCTTTTTTGCTCCTAATCATAAAAAAAAAATCTTTAAAGGGAACCCATTTTTCTTCATCTAATAATGTACTATTGACTGCATTCAACTGGTTCAATTCCCAGGATCCTCAATTCTTTCTGGATGGACTAAATGACTGGTATCACTGCTTACAAAAGTGTCTTGACCTTGGTGATGCTTATGTTGAGAAATAAAGTTTGCATTTTTATAAGTTTTTATCCTTTCATTCCATGTTTCCATGAACTTTTTAAAGGCCCCTCATTTTCCTTGTCTTGAATTAACAGTGTATGATTTCTAAAAGTGAAAAGGTGACACTCTATAGTTTATTATATTTTCATTTCTGTTTTCAAGGAGAAAATTACTCCACAAGATCAGATAAACAGACATTTGACAAGACCACCCCCAGATTATAAAGACCAAAGAAGAAATGTGGGTAATATGCAACCAACTGCTCAGTATTCTGGTAAGTGTTTTTTTTAATTAAAATTGTAACTATGAAAATTTAAAAAATTGTTCAATTTTCTCTTTTCCACATCTCATATTTATTTGATTGTAACTTCTTTCTTTGAATCCTTCACTAATTCCCACTTGACTTATATAGAAATACTTGAATTTTTTTTTTTGTCCTCTCATCAGTTTTTGTATATTCTTTCCCCATATGTATGTTTCACTGCTTTCCAATCCAATAGGAACATTCAGAAAAGCTAAATAATTTATAAGTACTAGGGAACCAGCACCATTTTGACACAAGAAGGATAAGGTAAGTAAACATTTGTTCCTATTATGTAGGCAGTCACATTTTAAACTTTTATAAAGTCCAGTTATTTTTGTTTGTTTGTTTGTTTGTTCTCCACCTTTGGTCTCAACTCCCCAAGGTGTCCTCTCAAAGGAAAATAATCCACTCACCAAGAAGTAATACAAAAGCAAATTAAGTTTTTATTAAGCCTGTCAAAAGCACCAGAGATAGATCCCATTTAAAAGAAATAGTAAAATAAGCACCCACCCCCGCAATGCCACAAATATCTCTCTGAACTACAAAAGAACTTCTCCCCAAACTAATCTCTACTGTTCCTGCCTTCTGTCTAGGGTATGTTCAAGTCTCTCTGCCCAGAACTCTCTAGGAACTTTCCATGCAAATAAAGTAACTTATTCTTTGGGGTTTCCCCAGTTCTGTGTTTTATCTATTACCTTATTCTGTCTATTCTGTCTGTTGATGTTATATGCTGTCAAGCCAGTTCCAACTCATAGCGACCCTTTATACGGTTTCTGAGAGTGGCTAGTAGGTTTGAACTGTTGACCTTGTGGGTACTAGTCCAGTGCTTATCCTACAGCACCACAACAGGGCGCTTCTAAGAAGCCATAAAAATTCTCTTTAAAGGAGAGACAGTGAATATTCCTATTTATTAATAGGTTTTAGTCCTGTATGCATAGTTTTAATGTGCAGGTTCCTGCCTCCTCCCTCCCCCTATGCAAAAGTAAGAATGCTCCTGTGTAATCTTTTATAAGCTAAAAACAGCATACAACAAAGAAGCAATTCTCATTAATTTATATGGGATTGTTTTGAGCATTCCTAGGCCCAAGAAATGATCTACCAAATCATATTAAACATAAAACCTAAAAAAACAGTAACATGTAGTGTTCACAGACACCCACCCTTCCTTTAAATGACTTGCTACTGAGGTGCTGAGTGTGGCCCCTGGGGAAGCAGTGTGGTAAGGCCCCTCTCACTGTTGGGGGTCCGTGCTGCCTCTTTAAGAGCTTCCTGCAAAACAAACGCTGAACACTAGTTTTGCTTTTGGCCATTTTTCACAAAAGCAAAACTCCTCTTCCAATTTCCTTTGGTCAAACTACAGTGGCATAAAGCAAACTTTCTGGAAAAACAGGAGATATCTCTATTGTTCTAATTTATTTAATCCCTTCAAATACACTAAATTCTCTCCATGAAAATTTGGAATGTGATATACATATTCTACTCACTTCTGATGTGACGCTGTAGGATAAGCATTGGACTGCAAACCACAAGGTCAGTGGTTCAAACCCACCAGCTGCTCCCCCGAAACCCTATTGTTGTTGTTAAGTACCTTTGTGTCGGTTCCCACTCATATCGACCCTGGATAGGGTTTCCAAAGAGCAGCTGATGAGCTTGAACACTATGAGTCGGAACTGACTTGATGGCGCTTAACAGTAACAAAAGATTACTTTAGAACACTGGTGTGGCACTGTAGGTTATGTCCGGGATGGCTAACTGTACCAGCCACACCTTGGAAGCCCTATGCAGGGATGCTATGGGTCAGAACACACTTGAGGGCAGTTAAGAACAACAAGATTACTTTGTCCCAAAGTAAGGACAAAAACAGGATTATCTGTTTGATTCTGCCCTCAAAGAGGTCAAAAGACAAGATAGGGTTTATTTTGAACATGGCTTTTTTTTCCCCCCTTCATCAGTGTCGTATTTATTTATTTATTTTTAACAGTCAAGACCATCAGCTTTACTTTCAACCAAATATACGTTTTTGTTTCATCTCAACGGATACAATCCTCACCCTGTAACAACAGTTATCCTGTTTCCTCCTTGTGGCTTCCCTTTTACATCTTACTTTTCACAAATGAACAAAGCAAAAATATTTGATGTACACATACAAAACAAAAAATATATATTCATTTAACTCTCCAGAGCACACATTTTGCAAGCTAGCCTCCTGCCTGCAGGCACACAACCTTTCTCAGTCCTTGGCCCTAGGCTAGAATCCTCAGCAGCTCTATCTCTGTGTCATCACTTCTGCCATTGTCTCTGCTGTCGCCACTTTCCTGGTTAGGATCTCACACTCCACTCGTGCTCTTTCTACTTCATGGCCTTGGGATCCCCTGTTCCTGGAATGAAAGATGAACTACTACCCCATTTTAGTTATACATATCCTACAATTACACTTGTGGCAATCATAATGAATCCTGCTGACAGTTACTCACAGTTGAATCATAAAATCCTATCACCATCATCCCCCATCCCCTTTCACCAGACCCATCTGGAGAAAAGGAAAACTATTCAGTGGGGATCCTACCTTACCCCCTCATTCTGAAACTAAGCACACTCATAAAAGCTTGTTAGCCACTTTGTACCTTTATAACCCACCATTTTATAACCCCCTATCAGCTTAGTGAACTGAGGAAACAAGCTTGTTCCTTGATATGAAGAATCCTTCCATTCCGGTTGGAATTTTGAGCAACTGCATCCATAAGCAAAGGTCCAGTTCATCAAATTGTAGCAATTTACTCTTGCTTACAGTATCAAGCATATTTATCATCATCTGGTCGAATTCTGGTCAGCTAGACATCCAAGCTAGATCAAATAGGTACTAGCTACATGTTTGGGGGGTTCATGCATGCCTCCCCGCACTTCAGACCACTTGGCTGCTTCACTTTCAGCTGTAGCCCCCAGTGGCTAGGTCAGTGTCATGAACATGGCTTCTTAAATCATGGCCTGTGGGTGGGTTTAGGGGAAGCTGCATGTCCTTTAAACTGTTATGCAAAATGCAAGGTGGATGTTTGGAGTTTCCTTTTTCTGCTCATGTGAAAGAATCCCAGGAAAAGGAATATAGGCCTGGTATGGGGCCCTGCAATGCTATCAGATACAGACTTCTTCTGCCTTTCTGTCCCACATCCTTACTTAGCATGTGGTTCATATCCTTTGGGTTGGCTTAGGGGCATTGTATCACCAGCCTTCACATTCATATTCCAGGTAAGAGGAAGAGAGAAGATAAAAGGCAAAATGGTCTCACAGATAAATCAAACACCCCTTTTAAAGCAGTTTTCTTGGATGTTTCACCTAATAACTTATATATACCTGTATATCCTGGTGTGGGGCTGTAGGGTAAGCACTGGAATGAAAACCGCAAGGTTGGCAGTCAACCCACCAGTCACTCCTTGGAAACCCTATACTGGGTCACTATGACTTGTAACCAACTAAATGGCACTGAACAACAACAATATATACCTAAAGCCAGAATTTATTCAACTGACTCCTTGTCTGCAAGGATGTTGGGAGTAATGTTTTCTTCAGCTGGGCACAGTGCTGCAAAATGAAGTCTCTGTTTCTAAGGAGGGCAGGGAGGTTGGATATTGAGTAGTGAGCATTTTCCTACAAGAGGGCACATAATATCCAATTGCTGACCCACAAATGAGTAAAACTCACTGCTTTAGAGCATTTTATTTCCTGTATCTTCTGAGAAAAAAAGTAGCAAGCAACACAAACTCTTTTTATCATTTTTCCACTTTTAGTATAATAAGGTTCTCTGGTAGCACAGTGGTTATGAGTCAGGCTGCTAACCTCAAGGTCAGCAGTTCGAAACCAGCTGCTCCATGGGAGAAAGATGAGGCTTTCTGCTCCCATAAAGATTTAGAGCCTCAGAAACCCTATACAGGGTCGCTATAGGTCGGAACCGACTCCACGGCCCCACCACCACCATCTTGGTATAATAATAATTGTCATGCCAGATGTTTCTATTTGAAATAATGAATGAAAAGCACCTGGAATTGTTTCTACCACTTACTAGGAACTTTTTGTTTGTGTTTTAGGTAAAAGTTTACACCACAAATTAGGTTCCAGTCTAACAAATTGTTCCATAAATTTATTAACATTTTTCACAATGTGTCAGCATTCTCATTATTTCCATTCTGTTTGGTCTGTTTCCATTAACCTAGTGTCCCCATCCTACTTTGTTTTCTCATCTTTGATTTAGGGTAAATGTTGACCTCTTGGTCTCCTATAGTTGATTATTTAAGGGTGCACAGTACTCATGGGTAATATTGTTTCTTTTATAAGCCCATCAGGTATTTGGATGAAAGATGACCTGTAGGTGTGGCTTCAGTGCCAGGTTTAAAGGGTTGTTGTTGTTAGGTGCCATCGAGTCAGTACCAACTCATAGCAACCCTATGCACTACAGAACGAGACACTGCCTGGTTCTGGGCCAACCTCACAATTGTTGCCACACTTGAGCTTACTGATGCTGCCACTTTGCCAATCCATCTCGCTGGGGATCTTCCTCTTTTTCTCTGACCCTTCACCCTATCAAACATGATATCCTTCTCCAGTGACTGGTCCCTCCTGACATGTCCAAAGTATGAAAGACGAAGTTTGGCCATCCTGGCCTCCAAGGAGCCCTCTGGCTGCACTTCTTCCAACACAGATCTGTTGGTTCTTTTGACAGCCCACGATACTTTTAAGATTCTCCTCCAACACCATAACTCAAATGCATCAATTCTTCTACGGTCTTCCTTATTCACAATCCAACTTTCACATGCATATGAGGTTATTGAGAATACCATGGCTTGGGTCAGGCGCACCTTAGTCCTCAAGCTGACATCTTTGCTCTTCAACAATTTAAAAAGGTCTTGTGCAGCAGATTTGCCTAATGCAATACGTCGTTTGAGTTCTTGACTGCTATTTCCGTGAGTGTTGATGGTTGATCCAAGGTTAGGAGCTTCTATGGTAACTGTGATTATTAGTTTCTATGGAAATTCTCTTTGTTCTGGTTGTGTAAAACTCCTGTTCTCATAAACGCCTTAGGGCATATTGTTAACAATATGTTAACAACCTAGTTGTTGTTTTTGTTATTAAATGCTGTCGAGTCAGTTCCGACCCATAGCAACCCTGTATAGGGTTTCTGAGGAGCAGCTGGTGAGCTTGAACTGTCAACCTTGCAGTTCAAATGGCTTTGCAGTCTGGTGCATTAACCTCCAGCGCCACAACCGGACACCTAGAGTGGGTGATTTTTCAAAACTTTTACAATTTTTCCACAGCAGTTTCATAATGTAAATTCTCATCTCATAAACCTTCAGATACAAAGATGTTGCTTAACCTCATTTGTAGTGTGTACACTCTCAGTTATGTTTAAGTATCTTCAAGTACTCCTTGCTCTGATCCCTCTTCATCAGTGACTGCTACCCTATGCTAAGCCTGGAAACACACAGAGATAGAAGAGACTGGCCTACCTTCAAGGGCCAAGCAGTCTTCTCTGGCAGCATAGTGGTTAAGAATCGGGCTACAAACCGTAAGGTCAGCAGTTTGAAACTACCAGCTTCTCTGCAGGAGAAAGATGAGGATTTCTGCTCCCGTAAAGATTTACAGCCTTGGAAACTCTGTTCAGGGTTGCTGTGGGTCGGAACCAACTTGACGGCACTTAACAACAACAACAACATCTTTAAATAAATAGTAAAGCAAATGTATCAGTCTTTCAGGTTGCATATATTGCTCAGTACCCTCAAGCAACAAGAGATCGTCCAAGGTTACAATTGTAGTCATATTCTCTCTATCCACTCCAATTCTGGTATTCCTGTGTGTATATAGTTTTTTTTTATAGCATATTATCTTTTATTTTCTGGGCCTCCCTGTCTCTCTGAGGGGACAGTATTTTGAAGGTGTGTCTTTCTCCAAGTTTTATCTTTGTTTCAATCGTTCATTCATTCATTCATTCATTCATTCAACAAATATTGAACCAATTGAATATACAGTTTATAGACTGTGGGAAGATGACACTGAACAAAGTAGGCACATTCCTGCCTCATCTAGCGGACTTTTCCACCTCTGTCTGATACTCCATTTTTGCATCTTAAGATGTTTTTTCCCAGTAACTTGAACTTTCCTGTGTTAGAAACCTTTCACTGAATCAATTAATCATTATCTTGATAAGTGGAGTCTCCCTGTTCAGCAACCTATGGCTCAGGCACGAGACTGAGACTAATACATTTATTGACAAGCTTCAGTATAACTGGCAGGAACTTGGAGGCTACATATATTGCCCAATACAAAAGCTAAGTGCTAACTAAAAGCTTCAAAGAGAAAATGCTGCTGGAGAGAGAAAGCCAGAATAAGAGAAAATTTAATAGAGGTGCTTGGTCCTTGGTGAGCCTTAAGGAAAGAGTAGACTCAGTAAAGTAAGAAGGGCATCATAGACAGTGCCATAGTGCTGTTGGATAATGATGTAATAATAATCACAGCTCCTCACGTAGAAAACTGTCTGTACTAAAGTAGTCACTAGAGCATGGATTACATTTAAATCCTGACTAAAGATACAGGGATTCACTTTTTGAATAGTCATGGCAACTTCTTGAATGAGGAGGATGCAGATGAAGAATGGGCATGGTTTCTAAGGCCGTGGATTAGGAATATTACTCTGTTGTTGTTATTGTTAAGTGCAGTCAAGCCATTTCCATTCATAGCAATCCTGTGTAGGGTTTCCAAGGAGTGGCTGGTGGGCAACCTCATGTTTAGCAGTCCCAGGCCTATCCTACTGCACCATATCAGGACTCCTTAGGAATATTACTCTAGACACTATGTGTTATTCATCCACACTGTCTTATCTGGACCCTAGGATAACTAGTCCCAAAGAATGTATGACAGCTATATTCTTTGGTCTCGGAACAAAGTAAAATGAATTTTAAAATTAATGATTGACTTTCACCTCCACATTAGTGACTTCAGAAAAGGAGTAATATAGAAGTCATTAAACAGAATCATTCTATTTTAGTTTTCTTAATGTGTTAACTGTTGACCAAGGGGTAATCTAGGGTTGACCTAGGGTAATGTTGTTTAGTGTCATTTAGTTCTGACTCACAGCAACCCTGTATAGGGTTTCCAAGTAACAACTGGCAGGTTTGAACTGCCGACTTTGCAGTTAGCAGTCCAGTGCTTATTCTACAGCATGGCGTAGTTAGTGATCTACATAACACAAGATCAACAGTTCAAGCCCACCAGACACTCTGTGGGAGAAAGAAAAGGCTTTCTGCTCTAGCAAAGATATATATCCTTGGAAATGACATAGGGTCGCTATGAGAGTCAGAACTGACTCAATGACAGTGGGTGGAATACCTAAGGTGCTACTTCTTCCAAAAGTAGTAGCAACATTGTCTTACTCCTTTTATATAATATGCTGTAATGAATATGTCGCCTCATATATTCTTACCCCTGAAAGTAGTTTCAGAGTTGAAAAGTTATTGCAAGTTGCAATGAAAGAGGACATAATCTACTGTTATGAACTAATATATTTCTCTTCTTTTCTTTTAGGTGGCTCAACAACAGTGAGCTTAAATTCTAACCAGGCTTTGGCGAACCCAGTTTCAACCCACAGCATTTTAACTCCAAATCCAAGCCTCATGTCTACTTCTCACGGAACGAGAATGCCATCATTACCTACAGCAGTTCAGAATATAGGACTGTATGGAAATTTGCCTTGTAACCAGCCTAGCACATACAATGTCACTTCAGGATTGAATCAACTGACCCAGCAAAGAAACCCAAACCAACTGATAACAAATCAGACCAACCCTTTGATGTCACGGCCACCTACCTTGGGGCCAGGTAATAACAACACTGTGGCCACTTTTGGAGCTACATCTGTTGGCAATTCCCAACAACTAAGACCAAATTTAGCCCATGGTATAACAAGCATGCCAGCACAGAGAACATCAACTGTAATGATCACCGCTAACACAACAGCACCAAACTGGGCCTCCCAAGAAGCAACAGCTAAGCAGCAGGATGTCCTGAAATCCACAGGAGTCCGCTTCCCAACAGGTACACCTGCAGCCTTTACTCCAAACCAGTCATTGCAACAGGCCGTAGGTAGCCAGCAATTTTCCCAGAGAACAGTAGCTCCTCCTAACCAGTTAACACCAGCAGTGCAAATGAGACCCATGAATCAGATGAGCCAAACATTAAATGGACAAACCCTGGGTCCACTCAGAGGTCTGAATCTCAGGCCCAATCAGCTAAACACGCAGATCTTGCCGAATATGAACCAGTCGGGAACAGGGTTGAATCAATCGAGGACAGGCATAAGCCAACCACCATCCCTGACACCCAGCAATTTTCCATCACCCAATCAAAGTTCCAGGGCCTTTCAAGGAACTGACCATGGCAGTGACTTAGCTTTTGATTTCCTCAGTCAACAGACAGATAACTTGGGCCCTGCCCTAAATAGTGATGCTGATTTCATTGATTCTTTATTGAAGACAGAGCCTGGTAACGATGACTGGATGAAAGACATCAATCTCGATGAAATCTTGGGAAACAACTCATGAAGCAGAAAGGGGAGATAATTCACAAACTCCACATACTACAAGACAGTATTTTACAAGGACACTGTAAAGGCCAAACTGTTGACTTTTACTTGGACTACATGAAGATATCATGGCTCAAATTAGAAAACAAAAAGTAATTGCCGTAGTGAGCGTTTTGGTCAAAATCCTTGTTGTATATCTCAAACCTGAAAGTAAAACATTGGAATCACTTTTCCCTGTGTAAACCCCAGGACACAGTATCCAGTTTATCCAAACAGAACTGTGTGTTGATCTGTAATTAATTTTGTAACATAGGCTTCCCAAGTGTCTTTTCTCCCTGAAAGAAAAGTAATAGAATTTGCAGCATGTTTAAACCTCATGCCGTATGGAGATACTAGTTCCAACCGACAAGCACCAAATTCCTTAACTTGCTCTAATAGATACAAGTATGTTTTAATTTTTCCACAATTTTTTTTCTAATTTAATTTTCTTAAAGCTTCCAAGATAGATTGAAATGTTATAGGTTTGTTGGTAAAAACCAAACAGAATCCTAAGTAAGGCAGAGCTGGAGAGCCTAGCGAGCAGACAGTAGGGTATAGATTATCTGCTTTAGAGCCATCCCTTACTCTGCCAGTTTTCCTGTATATCCCATCATCAAAGGGATGCCTACTGATGAAACAAGAAAATACAACTGCAGCTTTATTTAGGCTTCTACAACAAATGTCTAAATTCATCCCCAAGTGTTCAATGCAGTCAAGACCTGTTCTAATTATACTAAAATACTGATGGATACCTGTATGCATAAGATTTCACTATTGTGTTTTAGAAATACTCCACTGGGCATTGCTCTAAAGGAGATTTATTCAGCACATACAAGTAACCTGGGATATTGCTTGTTGTTTTGATGCCTGCTGGTGATTGCAATTACTTATTTTAATGAGCAGAGACTGATTTTTAAGAAAGGAAGCTTAGAGACCAAAACTTGAGACCAGAAGGTATCATGTTTTGATTGGATTTAAGAAGCAAAAGGCCAGGACCAGTGGTGGGTGTGAGGGTGAGTAGAAATCTATTTCATAAAGTTTGGAAGAAAATATAATTGAGAGGGCAAGTAAGCTGTCCTTATTTGGACGTATTATTTGGGTAAATATCTAAATAGAATATGGCCTGTAAGAGTCTATTCACTCTTCTGGCCCTGATGGACTAAACCACGTCCCTTGCTAGCTGGACCCTTCACCTCCAGACTTTCTCCCATGGAGGTGAATGCAGAACTGATGAATGAAGAGAACATTATTGAGTCATTTAACCTTAGTACCCACACAGATCAGCTGTAAAATGGGTAAACACGTGTCCTGATTTTGGAATAGATACACAATATCACCATTATTTTTCTAATTACAGGGAGCAAACACTGTCCAACATCAAACATAATTTAACTGAAGCCGTTTAATATTCAAGTTTTCAGATATTTTGAAAGTTCTGCAAAGCCCTCTTCCAGTCTTTAAAACCTCTAGAAACACTCTCCTTCTTTTACACAATACCAACATCACTGGCCCGGAAACTTTTCTGTGCTAGGTTGTAAATATAAATAAATTACTTGTTTTGTAAACTTTTGTAAAGAATATTTTGGTAGAAATACTTAAAACATATTCTTTGGGTTATATTTATACATATGTGAAATAAATATACTGTCAAAAGGTTATATTTTATACAAAAAGTAAATTGTTACCTTTTGTATGCTAATATACAAAGTTTTGTATAATATGATGGTTTATTTTTAGCTCTACACTTAAACCACAGGTGGCTGAGTGGGAACTTTTGAAAACTATCAAGAGGCATATTAGACAAATTTATATTCTGAAATGAAACCTCAATAAGAAAGCATTCCAGGTTTCAGTTCTTTTGTTTTGTTTTTAGTTTTCAAATTCTATTTTAAACCCATGTGGTTCTTGTGTCCTGTTTGGTTATTCTGCTGAGCACATTGTATTGGTCCTTGTTGCATGTGGTCTACTGTGTGTTTTCCCATTTTATACAACAGTGTTTCTCCATGCAAAAAGAAAGGAAAGGTGATGTACATATGAGCACCTTTATTGTATGGCTCCTCCATGTTACTGTATATATCTGCTGCCACTTCCCAGTTACACTCCTGTGATTCCGCTTATTTTTCACCCTAACATAAATAGTATGTTTTGTAGTAGTTATCAAATTTAACAGAGATAAAGCAATCAGAATGTTTGGAATTTCTTCTATCTTAATGTGAATTTCATAATTAATGTCTATTTATTCAGCTATTCATTAAAATACAGGATTCTTTGGAAAAATGGTGTAGTCTATAGTTTCTGTTTGTTGGCAGCCTATTACCAAAGATGATGTAATTTTCCTGAAAGCTGAGATAATGACAATTTGATAGACATAGTTAGCCAAAGCCTTAGGATTTACAACTTAAGAGCTATTGGAATACAATCTCCCACTTATAGAAATACCAGACTACTTAATTGTTGGCATTGTTTATCATCCTGACATATTATACATGGGATGGAAGTAATTTTTCTTTCCTTTTTTTTTTTTTAAATTCAAAGACTAGAAAGCAATTTAAGCAAATAATTCATCCTTGGCTTCACTTTAAGCCCAATGAAGATAAATAACTGCTCTGAGTGAATGCACTAATATTACTTGCATTACTGTAACTGTACCCATGACTATAAAGATTTCAACCTGTAAAACAAGTATTTTGTATTGTGTGTAATTCTATGTGTTTTAAAAAACTAGTTTAAAAAAAAACTCAGGAGTGGTTCTCTTGTATGAAATCGCACTTTCAGTTACCAACAATATTGTTGCTACATCACAGAAAGTTCTGAGAATTACTAATATTTAGGATAAAATCAATGAAATGCTGATTTATTTCATTTTAATGTTCTTCAGCTAACTTAGAAAGTTTGTGCTAAGATCTATATGCACAGTGCCTACTAAATGCTGGGGAAATACTATCTGATTATGAGGTGCTACTATGGGAATCCAGGAGTCCTGGTTTGGTGCTACAGAATAATGCACTGGACTGCAAGGTCAGCTTGAACTGCAAGGTTGGTGGTTCAAACCCACCAGCCGCTCCTCTGAAACCCTATACAGGGTCACTATGGGTTGGAACTGACTTGACTGGCACTTCAACAATTTAACAGTGGGAGTCTTGGTGTGGTGCTGTAGGGTAAGCACTGGACTGCTAGCCAAAAGATCAGTGGTTCAAACATACCAGCCTCTCCTCAGAAACCCTATACAGGATCGCTGTGAGTCGGAAACAACTTGGTGGCACTTAACAGCAACAACATGAACATTTACCTGTTTGAGACCAGGCTGAGCAAATATAGGGCTAGATAAAAACAGCCTGACTGAACATAGTTACGAAGTCCTTCTTGGAAATCAAGGAGGTTAAGAGAAAGATGGGCCTTTGTAGGAGGCAAAGAGAGCCATTCTAACAAAATTCTCCAGCCCCAATGTCTAGACATGTGGCTAGTATTCTACTGGTCCCTTCTCTGCCAAAAAAAGCGTGTGATGCTATCTTTTTATTAATGTTGTTAATAGAGCAATAATAAAATAGACATTTTATAGAGTCTTATCCAATGAGTCTGGAAGGTTGGATAGTAAACAAATAAAACCAATAGCTTTAATAAAAAATAAACAAAATACACATAAATTAAGAAAAATGTGTGTGAAATTCCCCCAAAGTCTATGAGCCCAATACGTACCCATGAAAGTAGATCTGAGAAAGAACATATTTGTGCAAAAGGAAGGAAAGAGCTCAGCTTTTTCCTACCTGTGGCAGCCACAGGGCAGTTCAAGTTCATAACCTTTTTATTCCCAGGTTTTATTTTCAATCTCTGTACCTGTGTTTCCACACCCAAAAATGTAGGTGTGGGACTTAATTATTTCTACATACATTTCCAACTCTACAACTCTATGACTCCTTTTTTCTTCCAAAAATTAAAGTGGCAAAATTATTGTCAAAAAACTCAAAAGCATCATTTTTTAAATAAAGTCAACTGGCCACTCACCCTTCTGAAAGTTTCCACAGTGTCAGGTAACTTTACATAACAAGTTAGCCATCTCTTCTAAAAGTAATTCAGACAAAAATTACAACGTCATCATAAAGGCTGTGAACAAATAGACAGTATGGAAGTAGGAGCCTACTGACTAAATATAAGTCAAGCCCTGCAGCTGAAAAGCTGCAATGTGATGTCAAATTGACATTTTCCTGTGATATCATAGAATTTCATAAAGAAAATATTTGTCTGTCTGTTAGGGAAAAGAAAATCAATATTTCAAGTAATGCACAAAATTGGGTATATTTTCATGAATTTTTGTAACTTCTCAAGTTCCTATCACAGATAGGGTGCAAGTAGTGCCCTAGTTTCAACTTTATTGGCCAAACTAGCATTGCTCAAATACTATACCTTTAAAAGTCAATGCCATTATGCCCTGAGCTGCATGCAGCAAGATTATAAAGAGGATGTTAGTTAAAGGTTCTTGTTAAGTTTTTTTTGTTTGTTTGTTTTGTTTTTTTTAAAATGCATTTGAAGGTTCATTTTTATTATATTTAAGTCATCTTTACCTCCAGGATTTTCATCAATACACTTAGGGTGTGAATTTTCATTTTTCATGTGGGAGACCAGAGTTCCATTCTCAGACTATGTACCTCATTGCAGTTACCACGCCATCTGTCAGTGGGAGCTTCCATGTTGCTGATGCTGAACAAGTTTCAGCAAAGATTCCAGACTAAGACAGACTAGAAAGAAAAGTCTGGCGATCAACATCTGGGAATTAGCCTATGAAAACTCTGTGGCTTACAATGGTTCAGTCTGCAGCTGCTGGTGGGGATGGCGCAGGAGTAGACAGGGGTCACCATGAGTCAGGGCTGGCTCAATGATAGCTAACAACAAGACATATGGTTCTTATAATATATCTAGGGCTCTTTCAGAGGGAGGGACGGAAGCTAGTAGAAAGAAAGAATAACAAAGAGGATTTTTCATACA